GTCTATACAGTCTTTTCTCTCTCTCTTTCTCTCTCTCTCTCTCTTTTGTGTTTGTGTCTCTCTGTATCTTCCTTCCTTCTCTCTCTTCCCTCCGGATTCCTTCTGTATTTCTCTTCTCTTTCCTTTCTGACTTTGTTGTTGTTAAAAGTATACTCACACACACATACACATACACACACTGACTTTCCTTCATATTTCCCTTAAATAAAACAGCACTTTTTATATAGAAGGTATGATATTATTTGCTGATTAAACATAATATTAAAAAATAAGCTTCTAATTTACTTTCCTATGTAATCCTTTGTGTCAAAATCACTCAACTTTTATACTCATCAGTTCAATATGTAACGCTTACCTATTATAAATCATCAACAACAATATTTTGTCCACAGAAAAAATTACCCACTAGATTGAAGCTTGAACCAGTGATGACCTGGTTCCAGTCTTTCTTTTGGAACCTCCATAGTTACCTTTTCATGCCCCACTAGCCAGTTAGAATTAATTACTGGTCCTTGTCTATAAGGGCCATACACACACACACACACACACACACACACACACACACACACACACACAAGCATAATTGTCTTCTCAATTCTGTTATTTCATCTCAGATACCATTCCCTGAATTTTCAGGTAAAGAGAGGCTCATCTGGGCTAACATCCTAGGTTTCTGTCCTCTCATGTGTATATTTGAAGTTTGGAGCCAACATTTTCATCAGCCAAGTGATGTTAGCTTCTGAAAGTGTGAGTTCTTATTCTGTTAACTGAGAATAACAAAAACATACTTTTCCAATGGACTGGTGAGAACATAAGGAAAATCCATGCACAATGGTTAACACACTGTGCAGGACTCAGGAAGCAGAAATATTAGAAGCCATTTTTAATACTTGTAATATTCTCGAGGGTCTTTGAAACTACTCCTTCCTCATTTCCACTTCCATTCCCCCCTGTGATCTGCTCTCCAGAGCAGGAAACTGCTTTTACTATATCCAATTCTACCACGACTGTCAATCACAGCCTAGCACTAGCTGCTTGGCCCTGGGAAACTGATTCCTTGCCCTGGGTGGGTAGAAACCACTTATAACTCTGTGACCCAGCATGCTGCCATCAACCGCAGCCAGGTACGTTTTTGTTTGGTTGTTTGTTTGTTGGGGGTTTTTTATTGTGAAAATACCATAGAGAGGGGTTACAATTACATGGGCAAGGTAATGAGTGCATTTCTTATCAAGCATTGTTGCCTCCTCCTTTGTTTCCCTTTACCATCCCTTCCCATATCCCCCCCCTCCCCTTTTTCCCCCTCCCCCTGCTGCCACCAAAGTTGTAAAGTTCATTATGGTTTTTATTTCATCTTTCTTCCAATTTGCCAGGCCAACTTGTGTCCTGAATAGTAAGTCTGTAAAAGGATTCAGGAGATGCTATCATCTCTCTAATCTCTATAATTAGTGGGAGAATAGTTGGAAGAGGCTGGGAAAGTCAATCCAGAATAGCTGTCTCACTGCCATTCAAATGGTGTTTCTACTTACTCCTCAATCTTTCCTGGCTAGAAGTAATCATCCTTTCTCCTTTCCCTTTCTTTCAGCTGGGAGACTTCTACCCTCACTGAACATTTAGTTTCATTTAATAACTCAAAAAAATACTTATCTTCAGCCTCTAACACCCCAATTTCCAATTTAGAGTAGGAGTGGACTTTGAGCAATAATTTTTAATTGTAATGTTTAAGTACTTATTACCTTCCATTTCTCCTGATCACTTCTGAACTTTTATTTAGTTATTTATAAAATGTCTTTGTTTCCTAATGGATTCTAGCCTTCTGCAGATAGGATAAAAATCAAATGTATTTTATGTGCTTTACAGCTTCTAGCAGATTACTTTGCAAATGGCATATACTTCACATATTTATTGACTTCCTGACTAAATGAATAGTGCAGGATGCCTTGTAAGCAAGAGCATATTAAAGAGACCAAAAGTGGCATCTTAAGTCCTTGCCTGTGTCCTGCTTGACAGATTCTAATACCCACTTGTTGTGAATCTATGCATCTGTCCAGCACAGTAAAAGTGTTGACACGGACTAAATGTTTGATATCATTGTTTAGTCCCATAGATGAAGATTTTAAGATAGTGCATCAATTCTGTTGATACCCAACTCTTTGGCATTGCACGTATAGAACAGAATGGAAAAAGGAGTGACTTTACTCTTCCCTGAAAATTAAGAATTTTGTTCATTTTGTTAAGAATCCATGACACAAAGCCTATCATATAGCTAGGATGGAGATGAAAGGTGAAAAGTGCCATTCAATATTGTACTTGCACTTAGACTTAAGGCCAGATCAATGGACGAGATCCAGCTATTATAATGTTGTTTAATTAAAGTGTTGTTCAAGACAGACAATTAAAATAGTACCTCTGTTGAAATATCGTTTGTTATTTCTTCATAAGCTTTATAAGATGCTATTGGCTTGAGCATACCTAAACAGAGTGGCCATGCTTCATGATGTACAGCTGAAATTAAATAACAATTAACAATTTATTTTTATCTTTTGAAGTTCTTTTTTAAATTTTTTATTGTCAAGGTGATGTACAGAGAGGTTACAGTTACATAAGTAAGAGCATAAGTACATTTCTTGTCAAACTTGTTATGCCTTCCCTCATTTTTCACCTATTTTCCCTTCCCCAACTAGTAGTATACCCCCAAGTAATGCACGTTATTTCCAATATATTGTCTTGTGTATATCACTGCTATCCCTTTCTCCATTGCCTCATCATTCTGTGGTTCCCCTTCCCTTCCCTAATTCAAATAAATGTATATACAATACCAAGGTACCAAATCAAATACAGTGACAACAGGGGACATACCATAGGGGGAAGAACATACAAAAGAAACAACAAATGACATAGTACATTGAAAACAACAACAACAACAAAGAAAAACCTCTTGTGTCCATGTCTTGGAGTTCCTGGTCATATGTAAATATGTTACATGGTCATATGCAAGTAGGTATTTAAAAGGACATTTTTCATATGAAGTGATGAAAGTAAAAGTATTAGCTTTATGTTACTATTGAAATAAACACTTGGTCACTGAAAATGTAAATAGAAACTTAAATTGTTTCAAGGGAATAAGATCTATTTTCCAGCTGTTTCCAAGTCCTCAGTATCCCTTTGAGAATGTTTGTGGTCACTAGGAAGGGATGTATCTGTAGAACTAATCAAACAGGGAATTCAATGTTCCTTGTAGATAATTTTGGCTATGTCCCATTGGGAATTTTCTAGTCTGAATTTTCATCTTTCCTGCGGGGGGGGGGGAACACATATTCCAAATCAGTCTTTCCTTTTATTAATAATGAGTAGCAATATAGCAAAAGTGTCATATCAGAATTACTAATGATGAGTACTCAACCAGGCACTATGCTATGAACTTCGTCTTTAAAACAAGAAGGCAAAACATCTGAGAATAGCATTGAAATGGTTTGTGAAAGCATCATATTGATTAACTGATCCTCTGCTTTTTACTAAAAATGTTTTTCCTTAGAGAATTTGAAAATCTTCATATATTTTAATATAATACTCCAATCAATCAAAAATTATAAATGTCAATTTCCAATGAAAGTATTCCAATAAATACTGCTTCTGTTAATATAGAAAATGTCAGACTCAGTTTCATACTCATATCTAATTACAAACCTCTGAAATCATTTCTTTCTTTGTTGTCTTTAAGTAGTGGAACAAAGGGGTTTCAATTCAACATAAAAATATTTTGAGTACAATGTCTCTTGTTCCATGTTACCCCTTCCTATATTTTTTCTCTTAATGGCATCAAATTTATACAACAACCAGAATTCTAGTCCCATCCTGGCATTGTTTCATAGCAGTTTTTCATTTGGTAAGATTCTGTTCTTTTATTCATGTTGTACACGTTAATTAGCCTTAATGCTTGAAGAACAATGTAGATATTCATAGCCTTTGGTGTTTTTATCTACATCTCCTATCTGACTTTTGCTCAACAGTTATCACAAAGACCTATAGCTCTTCACTAAACTCTACATATTATTTGTCAGCTTGGTTGGATATTAAGAGTTGTCCGGGATTAGAATGATCAAAAACTAGGTTTTGGAGTCATCAAGACATTGTAGGAGGTTAAATCCATAGGTAAGGAGGCTGTTCCAACAGAGGGTACATGATATAGGAAGACTTCAGGATGAATGTGAAAGCCTTCTATTAGTTATTTCATAACCAATAACTTTTTTAGTGCCATAATGAAGCTTGAACTCAGAGCCCTGTGCCTTTGCTTTTAGCAGTTTTTCAGACTAGTCCTCTACCTCTTGAACTCTACCGCAACTTCACTTCTAGCTTTTTGCTAGTTAGAGATAAGGATCTCATGGTCTTCTCTTCTGGATCTGGCTTCAAATCATGATCCTCAGATCTCAGCCTCCAGAGTAGCTAGGGTTACAGGTGTGAGCCATCAGCCTCTTGCCAAATTTGAGAAATAACATGGATGAGAATATGGCAATGCACTTGATCATGCATTCCTATTTAAGATTGAGGAAAAGGCGGGGGGGGGGGGGGTAACAGCTGTATTCATCTCACTTCCCTTCCAATGCTCTCCACGGTAATAGGTGATGTGACAATCAAGGCAGCCCTCATCACCAGTTCATATTTATATCCTTGAGCTTTGGCCATCTGATTTCCACACAAATCACATTCTCAGTGATGTGTAGCTCATCATGAATATGTTTTCCCACAACCTGAGTGCTGTCTTATTTATTTAGTTATTTCTAGCAAAACATTTTTCTGTGTTTCTGCCTAAAAGAAAGAAAACAGTCTTTTTCTGTCACTCTTAAGTTTCACCATGACTACAAGAATCTTTTCCTAAATGAGTGAATTATGAATAAGAAAATATACATCTATTTAAGTACTTGACTCACATTGTCTTGATTGCTCATCATGTATAAACACAGTTTTGCTTTTTTTTAATATAAGAATCATTTTCTTATTCACAGAGTCAAACCAAAATGACGTCTCCATTTGATTGTCAATACTGCACAGCACCCCTTCTTGGGAAGAAGTACGTACTTAAGGATGACAATCTGTACTGCGTTTCCTGTTATGATCGCATCTTCTGTAACTATTGTGAGCAGTGCAAAGAACCCATTGAATCTGATTCAAAGGTAGGGCTCACCTCAGTGCACAGAATTACAGTTATGTGCTGGAGATAAATGACTTAGAGTTCCCTCTGTTCCACCTGTGTTGACTTTATTTTAACACTCTTTGTTGCTATGCATAAAAGATCCTCAACGTTATCATTAATCAAGTTCCAGCCACTTCAAAATGCATTCTTTAATCCTAATATTATCTTGTAAAGTAGGTGTATCTGCATATGTGTGTATGTGTGTAAAAGAGAATACAGAAACTCCATGCTTAGGATGTTAAAAGATTAAAGTGGTTAAACTACTTCCCAAAGTTGCTTTCATAATAACAAGAGTATAAATAAGTACATAAATAATTGGAGGTGTAAAGATTGGAAATATTCCTGGGTGTTATTGGCTTATACTTATAATGCTAGCTACTCAGAAAGCTGAGATCTGAGAATCACAGCAGTTTGAAGTCAGCTAGGGCAGCTGAATCTAAGACTCCTATCTCTAACTGACCAGTAAAAAGCTGGATGGAGGTGTTGCTCAACTGGTAGAGAGACAGCCTTGAGCAAACTTGCCAAGCAAAACTGAGCCCCAGTACTCACACATACACATACACACGCATAGTCACACAATAAAAATAAAAATAAAACAATTTGCCCTTTGCAAATTTCTAACTTATCAACCTTATCTTCCCTAATCTCCACATATTAAACTTATTTACCTACCACCCGTTCTTCTTCTAATGCTCATTATTTACTTTCTTCTTTTTCATTTATTTTAATTAGGTGGTATTATTTTGCAACCAAGAATTTTAAAACATGTGAAAAGCCTCTTCTGTAGTTAGAAAGAGAAGATAGGAAAAAAATGTGAAGAAAGAGCAGCAGAGTTGTTTATTTTCCAATGTCCTTTATTGATCAATGAAAGATGCCCTGGCTCCATCTAATCCTTACACCAGTCTCCTAAAATCTCTTCCCAATACCTAACAATATCAACAGCAACTTCCCCCAAACTGATGGCAGAGCCTACTATGCGAGAGTCCCAAGGGTATTCACTTTTAGCTTATAAAATGGTTTGTGTGGTTGCAAATGCATTAGACTAACTTCTATTTGCTGTCTGCAAGGATCTGTGTTACAAAAACTGGCACTGGCATGAAGGATGCTTCCGGTGCACCAAATGCAATCACTCTTTGGTGGAGAAGCCTTTTGTTGCCAAGGATGAGCGCCTGCTGTGCACAGAGTGCTACTCCAATGAGTGCTCCTCCAAGTGCTTCCACTGCAAGAGGACCATCATGCCGGGTAAGACCCCCAGGGAGCTGGGCTCCCACCCACGCTGCATGCTTCTCAATAAGCACCAGCATAAAGAGCTGAGTGAGCCACAAAGCCCTGGGTTTGACAGAGGCTTCTCCATCTCAACATCTTCTTTCATGTACCTTTTATTCATTCATTATCCTTGAACAGTAAATTACAGTGATCCCCAATGATATTACAATGTACAGTGTTTTCTCTTCATAAAACCTCATTCTCAGAAACATTTTGGACCAGAAGTTGAGCTGCAGAATAAAGTACTGTAAGCCCCCTGAAGCTAGGCAACACCAATAGCATTAGAAGAGGGAGACTGAGGGCAATCACCACTTTTGACTACTTACAAGCAGGCTTGAGGGTCAGTTGTCACACTCTCTTAGGGAAGAAAAGGGCCCGTGTAAAACAATCCATTTTAGGTAATCTGATGTTTAAAAATGTTTTATTGGCATACATTTATTATATGAAAGGACTTCGTTGTGGTACTTACACCATGAATGTAATGTACTTTGACCCAATTTTCCCCATCTACATTACTCTTTCTAAACTTTTATTTTTGAAGTTTCTTCTCTCTTCTATCTCTATCTCTGTCTCTGTCTCTCTCAGGAGTACTGGAATTTGCACTCAGGGCCTTGCATTTGCTAGGCAGACCCTCTACTATTTGAGCCACACTACGGCCACTTTTGGCAAGGTTGATTCACTATGTTTTGGAATTTATCTTTATCCCTACAAACATAAGCATAGAAGAGTGTCATTCTGTCTATGCCCCTTTCTCTGTGCCTCTCTTATCTCTCTCACTCACTTATGCACACACACACACACACACACACACACACACACACGCATGCACGCACACACACACACATTAAAGACTCAAATAATTCAGAGGTCAGAAGTATACAACACAAATTACTGGAGTCATGCAGTGGGCGTTCCTAACATCCCTCTAATGATTATTATGGCCCATTTTATCTTAATCATGAGGTATTCAGTCTCCACTTAAAATACTTTCACATCTTTACATTGCAGCACGCACAAAGCCTGCAAGACTTCTCTTTCAAAGGAGGGATTCGTTGTTGTCATGGCTGTTTTCTCTCTCTAGATGAATGTTCCTGAAACTCTGGAAATACTATGTTCCTGAAAGGACAATTAGCTTATAGCTTTTATGTTTTAAAATGTATTTTAGGTAATTTCATTTGCTCAAAGAAAATAAGCTTATACTGGACTTGCACTAACAGGTTCTTTCTTTTGGAGTTCAGGTTCTCGCAAAATGGAATTTAAAGGCAACTACTGGCATGAAACGTGCTTTGTGTGTGAGCATTGCCGACAACCAATAGGAACAAAGCCTCTGATCTCCAAAGAGACTGGCAATTATTGTGTGCCATGTTTTGAGAAGGAGTTTGCTAACTACTGCAACTTTTGTAAGAAGGTAATTATCTATAGAAGAGGAAGGCTGTAAGACCTCATCTACCACTAGTATTTTGCTGCAGTTTGGAGTAAACTGATGCTCTCCTGCTCTGTCTAACCAACACATTCACATGTTAGTTTTGAACTTCAACAACTCTCTAAAGTCCTAGCTGCTACGATGAGTACCTACTTAGCACATCCATAACATTCCTCCTAGAACATGGATATTAGATTCTCTAAACAACTCACGTAATCAACAGTCAAGTTTCATTTGCAGCTCTAATACAAGATTGCAAGTGTTCTGGGAGAGGGCACATTTGTCTTCCAATGCAGGAAATTTGTTAGGAAATAAATTGTGATTCATTTGGTGTTAACTGGTTTGCCCATGGATTCACCAAGGAAAACAAGTCAATCTGGGATCTCCTCCAGTATTCTTTCAGCAATGCAAATAGGTTTGTGGCTTGAAGCTTTCTTCTCATGGACTAGATTAGTAGGCTTAAGCAAGTGAGAAGATGGATTGTATAAGAAATTTAGTAGCATAAAAACACAAAGAGGCAGGTGCTGGTGGGTCATGCCTGTAATCCTAGCAACACAGATGGCTGAGATCTGAGGATTGCAGTTCAAAGCCAGACCAGGCAGGAAAGGTAGTGAGAATCTTATCTCCAATTAACCAACAGGAAACTGGAAGTGGAGATGTGGCTCAAAGTGGTAGAGCACTAACCTTGAGTGAAAAACAGCTCACGGACAATGCCCAGGCCTTGAGTTCAAGCCCTACCACCACTACCACCAACAACAAAAGTACAAAGAAGGCAAGCTGAACGCTTTTGTACTCCCTGTTCCAGAGGAACATGAAAGACCTTCTCATTTGGTTCCTCATTCAAATCACATTTCTAATAAGAGGGAAATTAGACAAACATTGTCTAACATTTTAGCTTCTTAAGATTTCATATGAAAAGTGGTTCATGTCTATCATGTGAAATCCAGCCTGTGTTTTATGAAATACATACATTGATGTTCCCAAAGAAATCCTTGACACATCGTAAGTTTAAATGACACTATAGGTGAGGCATCAGTGACTCATTCCTATAATCTTAACTACTCAGAGAGGCTGAGACCTGAGGACCATTGCTCAAAGACAACCTGAGCAGGAAAGTCTAGGAGATTTTCTCTCCAATTTAAAAGTGGAGTTGTGACTCAAGTGGCAGAGTGTCAGGCAGCTCAAGAACTCAAGAAGAGCACCCAGGCTCTGCATTCAAGCCCCAGGTCTCAGTCTCTCTGTCTCTCTGTCTCTCTGTCTCTGTCTCTGTCTCTGTCTCTCTCTCTCTCTCTCTCTCTCTCTCTCTCTCTCTCACACACACACACACACACACACACACACACACACACACACAAAACATCATCACACTAAAGCAGTATAGTGGTTCCTAAGCATTTTTTAATCTATGGGATCCTTTGGTAGATTCCTTAAAACCTTTGTATATTTGCATTTGAAGAGGTGGAAGTCCCATTCCATTTCCTAAAGATGCATAATGAAACACATGCATTCACATAGATGCAGGGAGAGAGAAAAGGAATAGGCAGAGGAAAAATTTTCTACCTGTACTAAAAATCACTATTGCATTTGGACCAACTTGGAATATATATTTTTCTAAGTTGTAATTATTAAATTATACTGAAATGATAACAGAATTACAATGGATAGTAACATGACACCAAACCACCTAATACTGAAAGTCTTCCATTACTTTGGAAGGAACACTGCCTCTACAAAGTGATGTTATTATAGGCAGTAGTCAGAACCTATGTCCCTGGACTATACAAAGCTCCATTGAAATATCAAAGTCAGTGACATGCATTCAAAAGCAGAGACAGGAAATACAATTAGTCCATTAATCTTACTGTTGTAGCAAGCTTTCGGCTTCATTTTGTTAACTAAGGCTAAAATATTAATGAAATTTGTGAGAATTATCTTAGAATTCATTGGAGAAAGTATAATCTGTCCACTGCTGTAAAGAGGTAACCAAGGAAAATCTCTAATACTGCAGTGTTGAGCTTAGGGACAAAGTGCAGGTTATAGAATATTTCATAAAAATTTATGAAATATTTATGTTGGGAAGCAGATAGATCATGACATGCCAGATTATTTTCTATTTAAATTCCAAAATGACAAGCTTCTCAAGAAAATCTGAAAACAAGCTATTTTGATCCAAGTGAAAGTAAAACAACTTTTCAAACCAAACTAATGACGATTAAAAAAGAGAAAAAAAACTACTTGACAATAGATCTTTACCTTAAATGTTTTCCCATTGATTTCATTGTTCTACATTAAAATTTTTTTCCACTAAAAAGTAAGTGACTTCAACCTAGTACTTTGAATTCAAATTCCTTGGGATTTTTTTATTTTTTTGGTCGTGGGGCTTGAACTTAGGGCCGCGGTGCTGTCCCTGAGCTTTTCCTTTCAAGGATAATGTTCTACCACTTTGAGCCACAGCACCACTTCCACCTCAGGATTTAAATAGAGTTAAACATATTTTTCAGTTCTTCATTGGTCATCTATTGCATGCAAAATCATTATTGTCTTTATCTTGCCAGATAAAATACATAAGGAATCCTGACATCAGTCAGTGGTAAAAACCAAGATTAGACATTCAGCTTTATTTATGCCTGCCTACCTCTTCACAAGCAACTTATTTTTAATGTTCAAGAGTTTCTTCTTCCAAATTAAACAGATTCTGGTGTATATATCAAGTTTCATCTTGCTGTTGATCAGTTTCTTAACTTTCAAATCTTTATTTTAAATGTTGATGCTGTGGCTGGAACTTGGGCATTGTCCCTGAGATTTTTTTGCTCAAGGTTAGTGCCTTACCACTGAGTCACGGCTCTGGATTTTTTTTTGGTGGTTTACTGGAAATAAGAGTCTCACAGACTTTCCTTTTTGAGCTGGCTTTGAACCGAGGTCCTCAGATCTCAGCCTCCTGAATAGCTGGTATTATAGACGTAAACCACTGGTATCAGGCTTGTAAACATTATGTGCTGATCATTTGACCAGACAAATCAAAGAAACCACGGTTTCTGCTGTGCTTGATATAAAGACGTTTGAAGTTAGTAGGGAATATTTTAAATTGCTTTACTTTAACACACACTATTTTCCTTTCCATTTACATAGTATGCTTTGTTTCTATAGAAAAAAAGTGTTTTAATTTCTAAGATAGTATTACAAAATAAAAGCACTTTAGAATAAATTTTTCTATAAGATAAACAAATATTTCTTGTTTTTAATTTTTATTTTTATTGTAAAGGTGATATACAGAGCTGAGAAAGGAAGTTGAAAACTTGATGCACTGTGCATATAAATAGCTATGATAAATCATAAGCTCTTGTGTAACCATTTGTAGATTTTTTTTAAAGTAAAAAAAGAGATGCAAATCAATATTTCCCAATGACAGTCCTCACCAGTTCCATTCAGGATTTTTTTATTGCTGGGTATTCTTGGACCTAGTGTAAAATTTCAGGAATAGCAGGTTTGTTTTCAGCACCTTTGAAAGTTATTTCTTAATATAAGAACATGGCATAAAAAGTTTCTTAGGGGCTGGGAAGGTGGCTCAGTGGCAGAGTGCTTGCCTTGCATGCATGAGGCCCTGGGTTCGATTCCTCAGCACCACATAAGCAAAAAGAAAAAAGCCGGAAGTGGTGCTGTGGCTCAAGTGGTAGAGCGCTAGCCTTGAGCTGAAGAGCTGAGGGACAGTGCCCAGGCCGAGTTCAGGCCCCATGACCGGACACCCTCCCCCCCCAGAAAAAAAGTTTCTTAGCTCTAATAGCAGATCTCTGAAGACCCAAATTAAAAAAAAAAAAACTCAGAGAAGTTGAGGTAAATCAAATCCCCAATTTCTTCTTTTCAGCTGCCGGAGTCCAAAATAGTCGTGAATGTTTTCTAATCCACAGATGGAGAAATATTAGAATAATTGTTTCCAGCAATATTCAATTCCTGTAAACTTTGGTTTCTCCCACAGATTATAAACAAAAATTAGAGAAATTGTCAGGAAAAGGAAATCCTAGAATCATCAGGCTATCATATGGCAAAGCACCAGCTGTAAACACAGAAGAAAACCATAGAATGCTCTGAACCGTAATGGCACTCACCCTTATAGCCATTCTCATCCTTTGCCAGGTGATAACCACAGGTGGAGTGACATTTCGTGACCAGATATGGCACAAAGAGTGTTTTCTGTGCAGTGGCTGTAGAAAAGAGCTTTGTGAAGAGGAGTTCATGTCCCGAGATGATTACCCATTCTGTTTGGATTGCTATAGCCACCTTTATGCCAAGAAATGTGCAGCCTGTACCAAACCCATCACGGGTAAGTTTTTCAGTTTAATAGGATTTAGTAGAACATAGCTAGAGGGTTGTAACATGAAATCTAGTTACTATCAAAAATGCAAGTGAAAATGTAAACCTTCTTTATTATATTCCTTTTGGGGATCAACACAAATGGGTGCCCATTTGTAACTTACATGACTCTCTCAAGGAAAAGACAATACAATATGTGTATTTATCCTCTGTAAAAAGAAAAATCCAATCCTACAGTCTCTAAAGTCAAGGGAAGAGTAAAAAGAAAGGAGCTAAGAGGTCAGAGCAAACCTTAATAAACCTTAATTTGAATCTCATTAACAAAGTGCGTGGAAAGAATGATATTAAGAAATCAGAGTTCTGAAGCCGGTCGCTGGTGGCTCATGCTTGTAATCCTAGCTACTCAGGAGGCTAAGATCTGCGGATCACGGTTCAAAGCCAGCCCAGGCAGGAACCTCCGTGAGACTCTTATCTCCAATAAACCACTAGAAAACCAGAAGTAGTGTTGTGGCTCAAGCGGTAGAGTGGTAGCCTTGAGCTGAAGAGCACACAAACAGCACCCAAGCCCAGTGTACAAGCCCCAAGACCAATTAAAAAAAAGAAAAGAAAAGAAAAAAATCAGAGTTCTGGGGCTGGGAAGGTTGCTTAGTGGAAGAGTGCTTGCCTTGCATGCATGAGGCACTGGGTTCAATTCCTCAGCACCACATAAGCAGTAAAAGCCAGAAATAGTGCTATGGCTCAAGTGGTAGAGCACTAGCCTTGAGCTGAAGAGCTGAGGGACAACGCCCAGGCCTAGAGTTCAGGCCTCATGACTGACAAAAAAAGAAAGAAAGAAATCAGAGTTCTGCTTAGTTCCAAACAAAGGGTAAGAGTTAATTGAGTGTAACTATTCTGAAAACTATCTGACGCTGCAGTGATTATAGTGGCATAAATCAAGAATTAATTCAACTTATTAAGATGCTTCTAAGAAATGTGCTACTCTTGTTTCTTTCTATTCACTTATGATGAACTTATGACTAGATGAAAGAAAACAACATAGCATTGTCCGGGAAAAAAGAAAATAGATGAGAAATAATTCAAAAGTAACATAAATAGTAAATTGATAAATGTTAGATTGATAATGCTCTGAAAAACATATTCTATTTCTTCTAAAGTTCTAATCCTGCAGTTAAGGAACCGAAGCTAGCTCAGTATTTGAAAAACCAGCAGCTAATCTATCAAGGAATTCATCACTACTTCATAACTTGACAGTATCTATTCTCCATTGCTAGTGTTCTTAGACCGTATTTCACTTTGTTAGTTTGGATTAGGCAACAGAGAACTAAAGACTTTCCCTCCAGTTCCAAAGATACACATAACATATCAAAAGATGAGCATACATTCATCTTCCAAAGAAGGAAAAGAGTTTCCATGCAAATCCCAATTTAGAGACTTTAATCCACTTACAAAGAGAAAGGCCTAAACTACCCAGATAAGTCATACTTGTATTTATCTGTACAGGGACATCATGTTGTGTAGATTCTCATTCTTGTCTATTGGCTATGTCCAGTCAGCAGACAGGTTTTATTTGGCCTACGCATAATTTCAAACAAACAAACAAGAATGAATACTAAAAATCCATCTTTGATGACAAAAGCAAAGGGACAAGCTGCCTTCAGATTCTTTGAGTAAGATCACCATCACAAAGAGCTCAGTGGCTGCCCAGTTGAATGGGGTATGCCTCTGTTACTCAGCTGCATTACCTCATTGATAGTTACAAGGACTTGCATTAATGATTTCAGACCTATTTGACTCCAGATAACAAAGTTCTAACCACTACATTCTTCTGCCTTTTGTACATCTGGCAGCTTCTACTGCTAAGGGAATAAACTATCTCCATGACATTAAGTTAGAAAAAAAATGGAGCTTCCAGATTAGCTACAGTAACTGAACCCTAATTTCTCATTAGTGCAATCTGAAATCCCAAATTATTCTAAACTTTTCTTGAATTGGGCTGGGGAAAAAATGATGCTCTAATAGGTAAATGAGAAAATGAAATCATAAAGAATCCTAGGAACTCCCCTATCTAATGTTCTCAGAGAGCCTATGCAAATCCTCAACTTGATGAGTTTCAGTTCCAATCTATCACAGACTTATGTCTAAGTGATTCTTTTTGATGACTTCTTTTGAGTATCACTAAACCAACCCTTGTTAAGTTTAAACAGAAAGACATTGCTAGGTGAAGCATAAGATTGTCAAGAACAAATTATTAGATCTAAAAGTAACCCAAATGTTGTTGGACTCCAGTAGCTTACACCTATAATCCTAGCTACTCAGTTGACTGAGATCTGGGGATTGAAGTTTCAAGTCAGCCCAGGTAATAGTCTGTGAAACTCTCAACTCCAATTAAAAACCAAAAAGCCAGAAGTGAAGCTCTGGCTCGAGTGGTGGACACTAGTCTTGAGCACAAAAGCTCAAAGACAATACCCAGGGCCTGAATTCAAGCCCAAGGATCAGTACAAAAGAGGAAGAATAGGAGGAGTCTATACTATCCCAGACTCTTCTCTTTTCTACAACTCCTCAAAATCAATTCCTTGATGTGTACCCTGAAATCATAGAGGAGATGGAGATCTGAGTGTCACTGAAAACTCAAATGAGGCCCAAGTTAAAGTGGAAAAAGTTAATGAGGCATTTCATAGAAATTCATCACTAGATAGGGTGCTGCAGAGGCTGGAGTGGTCAGATTTGTAGATCTTCATGAGAACCCTAAACTCAAGTTGTCTCTGGGCAGGTATTAAGATTACCACTATAGGATAACTCAATCTTATAATGGATGACATTTTCTATTTTGGATTTCTAGAAAGTATGTTATAAACAATCATAGAACCATAGTGCTTACTCCAGGTAAAACTAAGCATATGATACTGAAGGAAGAGAACTAAAAATCATTAAAACACCAAATACCAGTCTTGAATATGTACATTTATTCCATTTTGTGTTTATTTTGCAACTAAGAAAACTGGGTCACCTGGAAAGAGGGCAAATAAAATTATGCATATCTGACTTCAAAATCTATTCTGTCTGCCCACTGCACTTAATTGTATTTCCTTGCCTAGCTGAAATGATTAAATGTTTAGAAAAGTAGGTGATATATTTATCTAGCTTCTACTCACTCACTTCTGTAGATTGCAGAAGTTGGCTGGCAATCTTTAACTGTATTTTTCTTTTGTCTTTTCTTTTTTGGTACTGAGGTTGCACTTGGTAGGCAACTGCTTTGCTCATGAACTACATCTTGGTGCATTTTATGAAGGAGAGTGTGTGTGTGTGTGTGTGTGTGTGTGTAAGAGAGAGAGAGAAAGAGGGAGAGAGGGAGAGAGAGAGGCATGTCTGAAAAATCTCACCTGAACAGAGAGCTGGGAGGGAAAAGGGTTTATTTTGTAGTTGTCTGCTTCTACATGCTCTTGTTCACTCCTAGAAGAGTACCCAACAGAAATTTAAGGGATCCTTGAAAGAATGATGATTCTGTGTCTCCAATCATTCACAGGTCTCAGAGGTGCCAAGTTCATCTGCTTTCAAGACCGCCAGTGGCATAGTGAATGCTTCAACTGTGGGAAGTGCTCTGTCTCCTTGGTGGGTGAAGGCTTCCTGACCCAGGACACTGAAATCTTGTGCCGCAAGTGTGGCTCTGGGGTAGACACTGACAACTAGAAGGAGAAAGGAAGCAGTCTATCCCCACCCAAAATCCACTTTGCCATTGTTCTCACTAAATCCAGAACTTGGTCTCAGTCAACTAGTTGATTTTCTGTTTTACTGATGCTTTTAAGAATATTAATGTTAGGGTGAGAACAGAAAAGGCTTTACATATATTCCTCCTGAGCTACAGGATCTGTGCACAAAAGCACAGCTTAACACAAATGAATATATACTACAGCTGCAAAATTACAACCTTGCAAAATGCTGCACTCTGCTGTTAGAAAACAATCTCTTCATATTTGAGTGTATGACCCATACCTAGGACTTGTTCACATTAATTAATGAAGAATGGCATGTTTCAGAACTTCAGAGTAAAAGAAAACTAGGGACAAATTTGAGAGGTCTGCATGAGATGAATGTTTGCATTTCTAGCCTAATGAGTTACATATAATCTGATAGATTGATTATGAATGGTAGAATAAGATTCATAAGAAATTGTGACTCATGATCAGCACACTTAAGAATTGTATCATTGAAATATCATTCCCCAATCATTATTTTATTGCTAAATACAATTGGTCCTCATACAGGCTGCCTCTCTGGCTAGTTCCCTGTGTTTTCGCAGTGGAATCTCCTCTGCACTGTGGATGCTGGGAGCCTCATCCTTCACAGATGTATAAAGGGACCATTTCTACCTACAGATAGCTGAGGCATGGGCTTCAGCACATTTTGTATGAATTCTATATTCAAAGCCCACAATGATCTTTTTCTAAATGCTTATAGACTTAATGAAATGAAAGTCTATTCTTTTAAGTGAAGCTAGTGAGGCTAATCATTGCTCCCAAAGGCAAACTTTTAAAGTAAATAGATCATTAAACTCTCATGCTGGGAATGAATTTTAGGGAAGGAATCGAGTGTCAGAACACAACTTTCATCCAGACATCTAAGGGCATAACAGAAACAAAATTAGCTCCAAGCCTCATGAATTTTGCCTTCTGAAATTACATAGAGGATTAACGGTCAGACATAAAAGTGGGCTTTAGAGAAACCCAGTAAAAATAAGAACTGACAAGAATAACTCACTGTTGACAAATCGGAACCTGTAAAGCACAATAGAGTAATATGGGCTGTGCATGAGCCTCTCCGGCCCTGCTGGTTTTCACCACACTTGTATCCACCTTAATGCAAGGCAGGAGCATTATTTCTAACCCTAAACAGCAATCCTACAAATAAGTATTTATGAGGTCTCTAAAGAAAGTCACTCTTCGTGAAAAGAAGTTTTAGTGAAAAGTCTATCACCATATGTTAATCTTCAAATAAGATATCTAACTCATCATGACCCTACCAACTTCCCCAAGCAGTAATTTCCATTTTGGTACAAAGGGAAAACATCTTTTGCTAATAGGCAGTTATCACCTTTGATTATCACAGCTTTCAGATATGGTAAGAGTTCAAAAGAAACTCACCTAGATATATGTATCTGCTTTCAGATTACTGTAGAAACATTAAGGATCCTGAGGGAAATATAAGTATGGGCTATGGCTAATTACAGTAATTAAAACAACCCAGTAGATGCAATTAAAATTACTATCAAAAGTTTTTTGGAAGCAATTTCAAATGCAAAGACATCTAGTGATGTTAACCATTTAGAGATACTCCAAGGACAGAGTACCTAGATTATGAAAACTATAATTGTACTTTCAGATTCATAATGGCAGAGTGCTTTCTCATATTCACGTTATAAAATACAGTCTATATCAATATTGTCCTGTAAATTTTATGAAATTGCACACAATCCACTAAGCACACCAGTCATACTATGATCTGGAAACAAAACACTATCTCTGTGAAAGCTAAACCATGCAAAACCTGGATAGATATATAATGCATAGAATTGTATTTGCTAATATATATATTTTGCATAAAGATTTTTAGCTAAGCCATTAGCTTTAGACATTTGCTGTTTAAGGTGTAGGGGTTAAGTGAGCACATTGTTTAGTTTGCATTTAATCTTTACATTTAAAATTCATAGAGTTACTAGACACAGATTTAATTATCTTTTGTGAGTGTAATTTGTTATATTTTTTCCTATAGTTCTGTATTAAGTAGGCGACTTAGTCATTAAGCATGTATTTAAACATATGCTATGATCATAACTAGAGCCACTCTTGTGGTTCTGAGACAGAGGGAGGTGAATCCTGGCATGGAAATATGGAAGTGGTAAATGTGAAAATTCTTGATGTAGATATCCTTCTAGCTGCAGAGATCCTACTCCTACAACTTAGAGAAGATGCCACTACAGGCACAGCACAAATGTGTAGCACAACTAAGAAAAGAGAACTTGTTTAACTGGCATACACAAATGTCACTGTCAGTTAACAACTTTTCTTAACTATGGAAGAAAAAATATTACGACAATGTTTGGGGAAACTGTTGCTAATGACTTTGTATGGAATAGAACCAATGTAGTTAGGGTTCCAAGGCTCAGGTTTCTTACTACAGTAATATACGTTTCAGTAGTAGCGACAAGCAAAAGGTTATATAGCCCTAGACCTGTGGTTATAGATGTAAGGTGAGTATACAAATCGACATCTAAAAGTATTTTGTGTTGTCATATTCGGTATTAAAGACTGTAAAGGTAAAATCGAAAAGGAATTTCGACTTCAATGTTAATGGGTAGGATACCAAAGGGTTCAATTTTTACTTAGTAAAATTAGAAAAATGTTAGACTGAAATAAACTAGCACCATTGGTCAAGTGAAATGTGATCACAGGATCAATCCTTAGTTATTATAACCTTAGAAAAGGAAATATTACATTGTGCATTGCAGTGAGGAATGAGCCATCGTTGTGAAAGATGTGACTAATTACAAATGACTTTGCTTAAAAACTATCACAAAATTTAATGTCAAAATAAAAAAATCAGTCTAAAACCATTTTTGATGTTAGTAATTACATTTTGTAATTTAAAGAAATAGTTTTTAATCTACTTGACACATTGATAACTTCACATTTTAAATAAAAATGATTTTTACAGTATAGTTTGGATATGTATAATTGAACACAAATTATTCTCTCTAATACGCTAACAGATAGATGTTGATGACTGCAATAATACTGCTTTTGTGCTTGTTTTACAAATAGTGGGTTTCAGAAGTTTCTTAAACTGAATAAATGTTCATTTCACATAGTATATTTTCTAAAATTATTTTAAAGATTTACATTTTACTTCAACTATTGTAAATACCACAGATATGAAGTATGATCTACAGTGTTTCTACTTGGTTACAGATGTCTGCCTTTCTGTTACATAATGACTTTGGTCTTCTTGTTCCAAACATTTTTACATTAACTAAAATAGATACCTTTGGATATCAAATCACAGCATTAGTTGAAAAATAACACAGCACTCTCCTAAATAAGAGCCATGCTTTCATCTTTCTTATAGTGGTCAAATTTAGAAATATCCTAAACTAAAATGAGCATCTATACTTATTATATCTGTTACTCTAATGACTCTATCAGAAATTGCAAATTTCAACTCAATATTTTTGCTTTCCTAATTTCTTCCTTGTGGAGAAAAATAAAATCTTTGGAAGCTGGATGCCGGTGGCTCAAGCCTATAATCATAGCTACTCAGGAGAATGAGATCTGAAGATCGTGGTTCAGACCAGTCAAGGCAAGAAAGTCTATGAGATTCTTATCTACAAATAACCACCAAAAAGCCAGAAGTGGAGCTGCAGTATCCAAAAACTAAGGAACAGAGTTCAGGATCTTACTTTAAAGTCTAGTACTGGTGTATGTCCATGTACACACACACACACACACACACACACACACACACACACACACACACAAAGTTTTTAAGTTTTTATTTATTCTAACTGAAGCAAATTTTGTGTCTGACATATAAACTTTCATGAAACATTTCCCACTACCACACGCATCAGGTAGTTTCTCTCTAGAATTACCTTAAATATTTAATATCTTCATTTGTTTAATGTCCTTATATCCTGAATTTGTTTAATTCAAGAACTAAGGAATATTTAGGAAAACACCTATTATTTCCAGTTTACTGCTTTAATCAATGGTTTTGAAATTCTTGTGGGTACTCAAAATATGAACCTTTTGTCTTGGAGTAGTAATTATCAAGTAAAGAGGAATTATTGTTTGTGGGATATTACCATTTTTTCTCAAAACTAGGAAAAAGGTTTATTAACCTACCAGAAACATTCTGAGTCACAGTAAAGAAATGTCTGAACTGAGCAGAATAATATTCTTCTATAGACACAACTATTTGAGAAACTGAGGCAGAATGATTCAGGAAGATCATTTGAAGCCAGGAATTCAAGGCTAGCCTGGACAGCTTAGTGAAAACCCATTTCAAAACAAAGTGATATTTAGAAGCATTCTCTTTCTATGAGATCAAAGAGACCTAGCAAGACTTGGGAAAGTATGTCACAAGGATAAATACAACCTTATAACTTCACAGAAATTACTCCATCTGAATTTTATATATCAATATAAAAATGCCAAGAGACAAAATATTATCAGTCTTCATTTTAACCATTCAATTGAAGAGAACTGAGCAATGAGTTCCTCTACACATGTGGCTTATTAGATAGTTCCAAAACTGCATCTTCTAGAAAAAAATTAGAAAATTTATCAGAATTAGAGCCACTCTGAATTTTCTTAGCTGAATAGTTTTAGGACTAGATCCTGTTGAAGATGGAGGCATTATTTCTAAAATTGGAAATCAAAAGGAGGGAAAGTAAACAGAAGAGAATAGGGCAGAAAATTTGGATCTATAAAATAACAGGGTTTGTGTGTATTTGTGGTGACTGGATTGGATACATCTGTGGTTGAGAATGGCTTGCTCTGATAGAATTATGATCTGTGTCACAGAGGAGCAGAGAGTATTTTGGCCAAATACTTTCCCACGAATGGTAATGAACTTGTGGAGTAGATGTCCATAAAGGGTTCTCTGAGTGAGACTAATGAGCTCAACAGACATTCATTCAATGACTCAGTTACATTAAATACTATTCCTACCTCACACAAAAAGAAATACACTTGATATTTACGGATG